AGGAGCTGGACACAGGTCAGCACAAGCAGAAACCCTTTCATGACACCATAAACCATAAAACGTTAAAGTGATAGTACATTTCATAATTAAAGTTTGTCTTCAACTTTAGCCCTAACTGTGTCAGGAGAGTAAATCTTGTTCTAAGACTCAGCCTAAATCCATGATAACTCTAAACCCTAAATAACTTTAAACATTAACAAAAGTCTCCAACAATAACCATGAATCCTACCAAAACACAGGCCCTAACACATGTAGGCTAAATGGACATGTTTAATCATAGAATGCAGCAAGCTTGTATACTGACTCCTAACCTTTCAGATAACTAATTATTTACCCTGATTCATAACATAATTTCTGTCTCTCCACAAAAAGGTGTTTCTGGGAAGAGAGTTACAACATGAGGTCATACCCAAGAGGCAGGAAGAGAGAAGGGGCGGGCGGAAATGAAAGACAGAATGAAGAAAGTATTCAAAGGCGACCATCTCAAGCAATGAACTGTGTTGCTGGTCTTTAGCCATGTTGCTGATATCGTTTCCTAAATCGTGATAATAAGCAACTAACCTCTACATAAATACTGCATATAAATAGAAAATATATTGTGGAAAACATACACCTTTAAACATATATATTCTGTAGATGTGCATCATATTAACAAAACATAAGTGATCTGAGTAACTATTCAAAGTGTTAAACCATTATTATGACAGCAACGTAGTCTCATAGCATTTCGTATTATTCTGTACGTAAATCTGAGACACTCCATTTCGTATGATATGCAAAGTTTCGTATGGTATGTGTTCATTTGTGGATGTCCATAATCAATTTCTTATGATATATTACGAATTACAATTCGTACGATATGTTACGAATTGCAATTTGTACAATATGTTACGAATTTGCAATCGTTTGATATGTTACAAATTCCAATTTGTTGTGGCTAACGTTAGCTAGGTGGCTAGGTTACTAACGCTAATGTTAAGGTTAGGAGTTAGGCTAAAGGGTTAAGGTTTGGGTTAGGGTTAGGGGAAGGGTTAGCTAAAATTGTTAAGATTAAGGTTAGGGGAAGGGTTAGCTAACATGCTAAGTAGTTGCATAGTAGCTAAAAAGTACTAAGTAGTTGCAAAGTTGCTAAAATGCTAAAGTTGTTCGTGATGAGATTTGAACATACGACCTTTTGGTTGCTAGATGTTTGCGTTATCCGCCCACACATCCACCCCGACCAACCACCCTTCTTTCGTTTTTGCCTTAAGTAACCTTCTATCTTACGTAACCATACCAAACGTAACATAGCATACTAATTTGAGTGTTTTGGTTTATGTTTATTATATTACGCCTAGTCTATGAGACCAGTCTGATCAGATCAATGTAAACTGTGTTTTAAACTAAATTAATAAAAGGTAAGCTTGACTTAAAACAATGCTGTAGTGTGTGTGTGCTTAAAAATATCCAGGCAGTACTGTACAAATCAGTTCGGCCCTATGTTTGTTCGACCATGATAAAATTGCAGTTCTCAACAGACAAACGTTGGCCATATATCTCCAACCTTCAACTATGACCTCAATCTGAACCGCAACCATTTTTTACTTTTTAAGTGGTGGTTGAACACAAAGCATTGTGGTTGAAGAGGTGGGCTGCATTTCGACACTGGATTGGAGCTGACCACAGAAAACAGCCTGGAGGCGGGTCCATGGAGCAAGGTGCTGTATACAGACAGGGGAGAAGGATGGGAGATTCCGATTATGTCTGGATGGCAGAGAGGTCAAGCAGGGTGGGCTGTAAATAAAACAGATTACCAAAAACATCGGACGCCTCTTCACAATAGCTAAAGAAAAAAAAACGTATGCGCATGTGTGGGATTCTCTACTTCCACCTCCTGTGCGTGTTTGTGAAGTTGGGAGAGTTAGCTAAGTGATAAGGATGAATTTAGTTGGAATAATTTTGGGATATAATGTTAATGCCATTTTTGGTGAAAAATCACTATAACCAAGCAACCACTCTTGTGCTTTAGCTGTCACCTTGATAAATTGGCTACGCTAGCTAGTACTTCCCTCGACGTAACGTTAAAATAACTGTGGGAAAGCAGTGCTCGGCAGGCGGGGGCGAAGGACACTGTGTCCCAACTTGCTATGCATGCTCTACCCACTGAATAGACTGTATCCCAGTGACATCCAGATGGTTACCAATATTATTATTATATTTCTCATGAAGGCTGCTATCCTACTTGGAATAAAAAAACGTAGAGAAAAACATTTGGCCACGACACTACCGCCAGCGACACCGTCTCTGATCCTGTCTCAGCTAGCATGTCTCACAGTGTCTGTAACACACGCGCAGAACGTGATTACATTTCTTTGCTCTGGAAGAGGTGCCCGATTCGGTCACCCAGCCTCACCCTAAATAAAATGACTAAAACTGAAATTATTTAATTGTTAAGCACAACATTTGCTGCTGAACTTCCTGCTTTTCCTTCCTGGCATGGGTACACCCATCACAGAATATGACTTTGAGTCACTCTATATGGGAGTGGCAAGGGGAGTGTGTTAGTATTGGACAGAAGAGAGCGATTAGTATGTTTTGGTGATTCAGCACAACGATAATTAGGGAGCAAGTGGGTTGAAATTAAAATATGACATTATCTAGAATTCTTAGGAAAGGCTTGGCTCAGGGTCAGGAAGAGGAAGAGAATGGGTACTCACTGGGCACAAACTGGTTAAATCAACGTTGTTTCCACATCATTTCAACAAAAACATTGATGTGATGTTGAATCAATTTGGAAAACTGATTGGATTTGCAAAAAGTCATCAACGTAAAGGAATTTCGGGAATGTTTGACTTTTTTCCACCCAACTTTTAACCTAAATCTAATTAAATGGTTTATGTAAAAAATACAGTGAGCTCCAAAAGTATTGGGACAGTGACAAATGTGTTGTTGTGTTGACTCTGTACTCCAACACTTTGGGTTTGAAATGATACAATGACAATAAGGTTAAAGTGCAGACTGTCAGCTTAAATTTGAGGGTATTTTCATCCGTTTAGAAATGTCTGCACTTTTTATACCTAGTCCCTCCATTTTAGGGGACCGAAAGTATTGGGAGAAATTCACTTGTATGTGTATTAAAGTAAGAAAAAGTTAATTATTTGGTCCCATATTCATAGCACGCGATGACTACATCAAGCTTGTGACTATTGTTGTAAATAAGAATAGAATATGTTTCTAAACACTTCTACATTAATGTAGATGCTACCATGATTACGGATAATCCTGAATGAATCATGATAATGATGAGTGAGAGGCATAAATATCATTCAGGTTTATCCGTAATCATGGTAGCATCTACAGTTGAAGTCGTAAGTTTACGTACACCTTAGCCAAATACATTTAAACTCAGTTTTTCACAATTCCTGATATTTAATCCTAGTAAAAATTATTCCCTGTCTTAGGTCAGTTAGGATCACCACTTTATTTTAAGAATGTGAAATGTCAGATATAGTAGAGAGAATGATTTATTTCAGCTTTTATTTATTTCATCACATTCCCAGTGGGTCAGAAGTTTACATACACTCCATTATTATTTGGTGTCATTGCCTTTAAATTGTTTAACTTGGGTCAAACGTTTCGGGTAGCCTTCCACAAGTTTCCCACAATAAGTTGGGTGAATTTTGGCCCATTCCTCCTGACAGAGCTGGTGTAACTGAGTCAGGTTTGTAGGCCTCCTTGCTTGCACACGCTTTTTCAGTTCTGCCCACACATTTTCTATAGGATTGAGGTCAGGGCTTTGTGATGGCCACTCTAATACCTTGACTTTGTTGTCCTTAAGCCATTTTGCCACAACTTTGAAAGTATGCTTGGGGTCATTGTCCATTTGGAAGACCCATTTGCAACCAAGCTTTAACTTCCTGACTGATGTCTTGAGATGTTGCTTCAATATATCCACATAATTTTCCTTCCTCATGATTCCATCTATTTTGTGAAGTGCATCAGTCCATCCTGCAGCAAAGCACCCCCACAGCATGATGCTGCCACCCCCGTGCTTCACGGTTGGGATGGTGTTCTTCGGCTTGCAAGCATTCCCCTTTTTCCTCCAAACAGAACGATGGTCATTATGGCCAAACAGTTCTATTTTTGTCTATCAGACCAGAGGACATTTCTCCAAAAAGTACGATCTTTGTCCCCATGTGCAGTTGCAAACCGTAGTCTGGCTTTTTTTATGGCGGTTTTGGAGCAGTGGCTTCTTCCTTGCTGAGCGGCCTTTCAGGTTATGTCGATATAGGACTCGTTTTACTGTGGATATAGATACTTTTGTACCTGTTTCCTCCAGCATCTTCACAAGGTCCTTTGCTGTTGTTCAAGGATGAACCATACTTGTGGAGTTCTACAATTTTTTTCCTGAGGTCTTGGCTGATTTCTTTTGATTTTCCCATGATGTCAAGCAAAGAGGCACTGAGTTAAAAGGTAGGCCTTGAAATACATCCACAGGTACACCTCCAATTGACTCAAATGATGTCAATTAGCCTATCGGAAGCTTCTAAAGCCATGACATCATTTTCTGGAATTTTCCAAGCTGTTTAAAGGCACTTAGTGTATGTAAACTTCTGACCCACTGGAATTGTGATACAGTGAATTATAAGTTAAATAATCTGTCTGTAAACAATTGTTTGAAAAATGACTTGTGTCATGCACAAAGTAGATGTCCTAACCGACTTGCCAAAACTATAGTTTGTTAACAAGAAATTTGTGGAGTGGTTGAAAAACGAGTTTTATTGACTCCAACCTAAGTGTATGTAAACTTCCGACTTCAACTGTACATTCATGTAGAACTGTTTAGAAACTTCCATTCTTTGTTACAATAAAAGTGACTCCAAAATGTAATAATACATTATTTACCATTCATTTTTATTTTTGTTAGATTGTGTGTGGATTCCTTACCTCCCATAGGTATCTCTGAATCTCTGCCCTCCAATGAGAGAGGGAAGCACCAGGAGTTTAAAGTAGAGGGGGCCATGGACGTCAAGATCTACATCCCCTACGAGTCAGCTGAACTCTGCATTACGCAGGTACAGAGTCACATCCCTAGGTCATAAAAGATCTGGGAAAATTTGAAATAGTTTTTTATCATATTATACAGTGCCTTCAGAAAGTATTCACACCCCTTGACTTTTTACACATTTTGTTATGTTACAGTCTAAATTTAAAATGGATTCAATTGAGATTTTGTGTCACTGGCCTACACACAATACCCCATAATGTGGAATTATGATTTTTTATTTTTTTTAACAAATTAATTACAACTTAAAATATTACATTTATTAATGTGTTTGAGCCAATCAGTTGTGTTGTGACAAGGTAGGGGTGGTATACAGAAGATAGCCCTATTTGGTAAAAGACAAAGTCCATATTATGGCAAGAACAGCTCAAATAAGCAAAGAGAAATGACAGTCCATCATTACTTTAAGACATGAAGGTTAGTCAATCCGGAAAATTTCAAGAACTTTGAAAGTTTCTTCAAGTGCAGTCGCAAAAACCATCAAGGGCTATGATGAAACTGACTCTCATGAGGACCGCCACAGGAAAGGAAGACCCAGAGTTACCTCCGCTGCAGAGGATGTTCATTAGAGTTACCAGCCTTAGAAATTGCAGCCCAAATAAATGCTTCACAGAGTTCAAGTAACAGACACATCTCAACATCAACTGTTCAGAGGAGACTGCGTGAATCAGGCCTTCATGGTCAAAGTGCTGCAAAGACACCACTTCTTGGGCCAAGAAACACGAGCAATGGACATTAGACCGGTGGAAATCTGTCCTTTGGTCTGATGAGTCCAAATGTGAGATTTTTGGTTCCAACCGCCGTGTCTTTGTGAGACGCAGAGTAGGTGAATGGATGATCTCCGCATGTGTGGTTCCCACCATGAAGCATGGAGGAGGTGGTGTGATGTTGTGGGGGTGCTTTGCTGGTGACACTGTCTGTGATTTATTTAGAATTCAAGGCACACTTAACCAGCATGGCTACCACAGCATTCTGCAGCGATACGCCATCCCATCTGGTTTGCGCTTAGTGGGACTATCATTTGTTTTTCAACAGGACAATGACCCAACACACCTCCAGGCTGTGTAAGGGCTATTTGACCAAGAAGGAGAGTGATGGAGTGCTGCATCAGATGACCTGGCCTCCACAATCACCCGAACTCAACCCAATTGAAATGGTTTGGGATGAGTTGGACCGCAGAGTGAAGGAAATGCAGCCAACAAGTGCTCGGCATACAGTGCCTTGCAAAAGTATTCATCCCCCTTGGCGTTTTTCCTATTTTGTTGCATTACAACTTGTAATTTAAAGGGATTTTTATTTGGATTTCATGTAATGGACATACACAAAATAGTCAAAATTGGTGAAGTGAAATTCCAAAAAATAAATAACGGAAAAGTGGTGTGTGCATATGTATTCACCTCCTTTGCTATGAAGCCCCTAAATAAGATCTGGTGCAACCAATTACCTACCTAAGAAGTCACATAATTAGTTAAATAAAGTCCACCTGTGTGCAATCTAAGTGCCACATGATCTGTCATGTGATCTCAGTATATATACACCTGTTCTGAAAGGCCCCAGAGACTGCAACACCACTAAGCAAGAGGCACCACCAAGCAAGCGCCACCATGAAGACCAAGGAGCTCTCCAAACAGGTCAGGGACAAAGTTGTGGAGAAGTACAGATCAGGGTTGGGTTATAAAAAAATATCTGAAACTTTGAACATCCCACGGAGCACCATTAAATCCATTATTAAAATATTGAAAGAATATGGCACCACAACATACCTCCCAAGAGAGGGCTGCCCACCAAAACTCACGGACCAGGCAAGGAGGGCATTAATCAGCGAGGCAACAAAGTCACCAAAGATAACCCTGAAGGAGCTGCAAAGCGCCACAGCGGAGATTGGAGTATCTGTCCATAGGACCACTTCAAGCCTTACACTCCACAGAGCTGGGCTTTACGGAAGAGTGGCCAGATAAAAGCCATTGCGTTAAAAAAAAAATTAAGCAAACACGTTTGGTCTTCGCCAAAATGCATGTGGGAGACTCCCCAAACATATGGAAGAAGGTACTCTGGTCAGATGAGACTAAAATTGAGCTTTTTGGCCATCAAGGAAAATGTTATGTCTGGCGCAAACCCATCACCTCTCATCACCCCGAGAACACCATCCGCACAGTGAAGCATGGTGATGGCAACATCATGCTGTGGGGATGTTTTTCATCGGCAGGGACTGGGAAACTGGTCAGAATTGAAGGAATGATGGATGGCGCTAAATACAAGGAAATTCTTGAGGGAAACCTGTTCCAGTCTTCCAGAGAGGTTCACCTTCCAGCAGGACAATGACACTAAGCATACTGCTAAAGTAACACTCGAGTGGTTTAAGGGGAAACATTTAAATGTCTTGGAATGGCCTAGTCAAAGCCCAGGCCTCAATCCAATTTGGAATCTGTGGAATGACTTAAAGATTGCTGTACACCAGCGGAACCCATCCAACTTGAAGGAGCTGGAGCAGTTTTGCCTTGAAGAATGGGCAAAAATCCCAGTGGCTAGATGCGCCAAGCTTATAGAGACATACACCAAGATATTTGCAGCTGTAATTGCTGCAAAAGGTGGTTCTACAAAGTTTTGACTTTGGGGGGGGGGGGGGGGGGGGGGGGGGTGAATAGTTATGCACGCTCAAGTTTAATGTTTTTTTTTGTCTTATTTCTTGTTTGTTTCACAAAAAAAATATATTTTGCATCTTCAAAGTGGCATGTTGTGTAAATCAAATGATACAAACCCCCCAAAAATACATTTTAAATCCAGGTTGTAACGCAACAAAATAGGAAAAATGCCAAGGGGGGTGAATACTTTCGGAAGCCACTGTATGTGGGAACTCCTTCAAGACTGTTGGAAAAGTATTCCAGGTGAAGCTGGTTGAGAGAATGCCAAGAGTCTGCAAAGCTGTCATCAACGCAAAGGCTGGCTACTTTGAAGAAGCTAAAATATAAAATATCTTTAGATTTGTTAAAAACTTTTTTGGTTACTACATGATTCCATACGTGTTATTTCATAGTTTTGATGTCTTCACTATTATTCTACAATGTAGAAAATAGTACAAATAAAGAAAAACCCTTGAATGAGTAGGTGTGTACAAACAAGGCACTACAGTAAAACTGCAAAAAATGTGGCAAAGAAATTAACATTATGTCCTGAATACAAAGCGTTGTGTTTGGGTCAAATCCAACACAACACATCACCCAAGAGTACCACTCTTCATATTTTCAAGCATGGTGGTGGCTGCATCATTTTTTTTTAGGATAAAAAGAAAGGAAAAATCCTAGAGGAAAACCTGGTTAAGTCTTCTTTCCAACAGACACTGAGAGACAAATGTACCTTTCAGCAGGACAATAACCTAAAACATAAGGCCACATATACACTGGATTTGCTTACCAAGACGACATTGAATGTTCCTGAGTGGCCTAGTTACAGTTTTCACTTAAATCTACTTGAAAATCTATTTCAAGACATGAAAATGGCTGGCTAGCAATGATCAACAACCAACTTGACAGAGCTTGAAGAATTGTTTTAAGAATAATGTGCAAACATTCTACAATCCATGTGTGCAAAGTTCTTAGAGACTTACCCAGAAAGATTCACCGCTGTAATCGCTGCCAAAGGTGATTCTAACATGTATTGACTCAGGAGTGTGAATACTTAAGTAAATGAGATATTTCTGTATTTCATTTTCAATACATTTGCAAAAATTTATAAAAACATGTTTTTCATTATGGGGTATTGTGTGTAAAGAAATCTATTTAATACATTTTGAATTCAGGCCGTAACACAGCAAAATGTGGAATAAATGAAGGGGTATGAAGACTTTCTGAAGTGACTGTACGTTTATCATTTCTATGAAGCCACATAGTACAATATTGAGCTGAAGAGCAGTACTCATTATGGAATGTACAGAGAAGGAATGGGTTAAGATAGTCAGACGTGTGACTAAGAGACAAACCCGATGTTGATCGGTGTGAAAAGAAGCACACAGTGAGCTCATTGTTAGAGATAATGTTGTGTTCTCCTCTTTACTCACATGTCTGCTGCTCCTTCTGCCTGGAAGAGGCTTTATTGTGTGTGTGTGTGTGTGTGTGTGTGTGCACAGGGCCAGGCCTAGCCTTTTGGGGGCCCTAAGCAACAGGGCCAGGCCTAGCCCTGTGTGTGTGTGGTGTGTGTGTCTGTGTGTGTGTGCACATGCAAGTGCGTGTGTGTGTTTGTGCAGGATCAGAAGACCAGGTGCCTTTGATTTGTCAGTCTTTATCTCTATTTAATTGTTAGGCTATCATGCTGCTGTGAATTCTCTGTGTGTACAGTATATGAGTCATTAACCTTTGTCATGACATGTTATTAGATGACTGACTGATGATCTTAAGTAGTCAATTAGAATTTATTGTGTCAATATTAAGGCGTCTCATTTCTTGTGGCAACAGATAGCTGAGGACATGCAGACTATGAAAAGTAGACATCTGGAGATGGTGCAAGAGCTGGAGGAAAACTTTCAGATCGCATCACGAGAGAACCAGGTGATATGTGTGTGCATGCGTGCGTGTATTGATTAGGTGTCACTACAAGTTTAATTCAACACTTATCTGTGTTAGTAGGAGAGGACAATACAGAAGATCCGATCTCACTACCAGAACAAGCTGAATGCACTGAAGAGAATCTTAGACCTTTACCAAGAAAAGGTAGAAAAGAAGAACACACACTGGGAGGAGAGATTCACAGTGAGTTCCCTCTTACCAACCAACCATCACCATCCCTCATCAGGGAACAACTTTGTCACTATGCTATATTCTATTCAGTTCAGTAGATCTTTATTGTCCCCAGAGGGCTTTTTGAGTGTAACATAACAATAAAAAACATGAACAACATACAAAACATGAAACCATACAGTACGATACATTAAGATCGAAATCAAAATCGTGTTTGCCTCTTCATCAACAAGAAATGGTGTGTTGACTCGAGTGTAGTGGAAGTCTCGCCCGTCTTGGAATATCTGATGGTCAAATGCTGACCCTTCTACCTCCCGAGGGAGTTTTTAGCTGTTATGGTGACTGTTGTATACATTCCACCTCAGGACAATAAGAAGCTGGCACTTAACGAACTGTACGAGGATATAAACAAGCAGGAAAACTTGCACCCGGAGGCTGCTTTCCTTGTTGCCGGCGATTTTAACTCTGCGTCATTAAGACACGTGATGCCCAACTTCCATCAACACCTCTCCTTTGCCACTAGGAGCGATAAAGACCACTGTTACTCTACCCACAAGCAAGCATACAAGGCCCTCCCTTGTCCCCCATTTGGCAAATCAGATCATGACTCAGTACTCCTGCTCCATGTTTACAAACAGAAGCTCAAACAGGAAGTACCCGTGACTTGCTCCATTGAGAAATGGTCATCAGAATCAGTGATTATGCTACAGAACTGCTTTGCTAGCGATGATTGGAATATGTTCCGAGACTCTGCCGATAACATCGACGAGTTTACCACCTCCGTCACCGGCTTCATTAGGAAATGCATCAGCAACGTTGTCCCCACAGTGAAGGTTCACTGCTTCCCCAATCAAAAGCCCTGGATTAACACAGAGGATGGCGCTAAGCTAAAGGACAGGGCTACTGCACACAGCGCTATCGTAGACAACCCTGAGGCTACGACAGAGGACAGGAATACGTACAAGAAGATCCGCTATGACCTCCGCAGTCATCAACCGAGCAAAAGGACAATATAGGAATAAGGTGGAATCATATTACACAGGCTCCGACGCCCGCCACATGTGGCAGGGGCTACAGTCCATTACGGATGACAAAGGAAGACCCAGCAGTGATCTGCCCAACGATGCCTCTCTACCAGACGAACTCAATGCATTATATGCACGCTTCGAAATAACAACACCGTGAGGGCCCCACCGACCCAGAAGACGGGGTGATCTCGTGCCGACGTGAGACCATGCGCAGAACAGCTGGCAGTTATATTCATGGACATTTTTAACCTCTCCTTGTCCCTGTCTGTACTCCCCACGTCTTAAGCTGACCACCATCATTCCTGTTCCAAAGAACTGTAAGACTTCATGCCACAATGACTACCGCCCTGTAGCACTCACATCTGTAATCATGAAGTGCTTTAAAAGGCTGGTTATGGCACACATCAACTCCATCATCCCAGACACCCTAGACCCACTGCAATTTGCATACCTCCCCAACAGATCCATAGACGATGCAATCTCAATTGCACTCCACTCTGCCCTCACCCACCTAGATAAGAGGAGTAGCTATGTGAGAATGCTGTTCATAGACTACAGCTTAGCGTTCAACACCATTGTCCCCTTTAGCGTTCAACACCATTGTCCCCTCCAAGCTTGGACCCTGGGACTAAACACTTCCCTCTGCAACTCGATCATGGACTTACTGACGGGCCGACCCCAGGTGGTGAGGGTAGGCAACATCACCTCTGCCACGCTGACCCTCAACACAGGGGGGACAGAGGGTGGTGCGGTCAGCCCAGTACATCACTGGGGCCGAACTCCCTGCCATCCAGGACCTCTATATCAGGCAGTGCGAAAGGAAAGCCCTGAAAGTCTCCAGTCACCCAAGCCATAGAATTTTCTCTCTGCTTCCGCTTGGCAAGCGGTACCAATGCATCAAGTCTGACACCAACAGGCTCCTGAACAGATTCTATCCCCAAGCAGCTTCATTAAATAGTACCTGCAAAACACCAGTCTCAACGTCAACAGTGAAGAGGCGACTCCGGGATGCTGACCTTCTAGGCAGAGTTGCAAAAAATAAAGCCATATCTCAGACTGGCCAATAAAAATAAAAGATTAAGATGGGCAAAAGAACACTGGACTTTTTCTTTGCAACTCTGCCTAGGTCAGCATCCCAGAGTCGCCTCTTCACTATTGACGTTGAGACTGGTGTTTTGCGTGTACTATTTAATGAAGCTGTCAGTTGAGGACCTGTGAGGCGTCTGTTTCTCAAACTAGACACTCTAATGTATTTGTCCTCTTGCTCAGTTGTGCACCGGGGCCTTCCACTCTTTCTATTCTGGTTAGAGCCAGTTTGCGCTGTTCTGTGAAGGGAGTAGTACACAGCGTTGTACGAGATCTTCAGTTTCTTGGCAATAGCCTTAATTTCTCAGAACAAGAATAGACTGACGAGTTTCAGAAGAAAGTTATTTGTTTCTGGCCATTTTGAGCCTGTAATCGAACCCACAATTGCTGATGTTTCAGATACTCAACTAGTCTCAAGAAGGCCAGTTGTATTGCTTCTTTAATCAGCACAACAGTTTTCAGCTGTGCTAACATAATTGCAAAATGGTTTTCTAATGATCAATAAGCCTTTTAAAATGATAAACTTGGATTAGCAAACACAACGTGCCATTGGAACACAGGACTGATGGTTACTGATAATGGGCCTCTATACGCCTATGATATTCCATAAAAAATCAGCAGTTTCCAGCTACAATAGCCTTTTACAACATTAACAATGTCTACACTGTATTTCTGATCAATTTGATGATATTTTAATGGACAAAAAAAAAGATTTTCCTTCGAAAACAAGGACATTTCTAAGTGTCCCCAAACTTTTGAACGGGAGTGTATAAAAAAAATACAACTGAAATATAACATTTACATAAGTATTCAGACCCTTTCCTCGGGACTTGATTAAATAACCTTTGGCAGCAATTACAGCCTTGAGTGTAATTGGGTATGATGCTACAAGCTTGGCACACCTGTATTTGTGGAGTTTATCCCATTATTTTCTGCAGATACTCTCAAGCTCTGTCAGGTTGGATGCACAGCTATTTTCAGGTCTCTCCAGAGATGTTCGATCGGGTTCAAGTCCGGGCTTTGGCTGGGCCACTCAACGACATTCAGAGACTTGTCCTGAAGCCACTCCTGCGTTGTCTTGGCTGTGTGCTTAGGGTCGTTGTCCTGTTGGAAGGTGAACCTTCGCCCCAGTCTGAGGTCCTGAGCCCTCTGGAGCAGGTTTTCATCAAGGATCTCTTTGTACTTTGCTCTGTTCATCTTTCCCTCGATCCCGACTAGTCCCTGCCGCTGAAAACATCCCCACAGCATGATGCTGCCACCACCATGCTTCACCGTAGGGATGATGCCAGGTTTCCTCCAGACGTGACGCTTGGCATTCAGGCCAAAGAGTTCAATCTTGGGTTCATCAGACCAGATAATCTTGTTGCTCATGGTCTGAGAGTCCTTTAGGTGCCTTTTGGCAAACTCCAAGCGGGCTGTCATGTGCCTTTTACTGAGGAGTAGCTTCCGTCTGGCCACTCTACCATAAAAGCCTGATTGGTGGAGTGCTGCAGAGATGGTTGTCCTTCTAGAAGGTTTTCCCATCTCCACAGAGGAACTCTGGAGCTCTGTCAAAGTGACCATCGGGTTCTTGGTCACCTCCCTGACCAAGGCCCTTCTCCCCTGATTGCTCAGTTTGGCCGGGCGGCCAGCTCTAGGAAGAGTCTTGGTGGACCTTCAGTGCTGCATAAATGTTTTGGTACCCTTCCCCAGATCTGTGCCTTGACACAATCCTGTCTCGGAGCTCTACGGACAATTCCTTCAACCTCATGGCTTGGTTTTTGCTCTGACCTGCACTGTCAACTGTGGGACCTTATATAGACAGGTGTGTGCCTTTCCAAATCATGTCCAGTCAATTGAACGTACCACAGGTGGACTCCAATCAAGTTGTAGAAATATCTCAAGGATGATAAATGGAAACAAGATGCACCTGAGCTCAATTTCAAGTCTCATAGCAAAGGGTCTGAATGAATACTTATGTAAATAAGGTATCAGCTGGTAGAGCACAGCGCTTGTAATGCCAGGGTAGTGGGTTCGATCCCCGGGACCACCCATACACAAAAAAAATTATGAACGCACGACTGTAAGTCGCTTTGGATAAAAGCATCTGCTAAATGGCATATTATTATTATTATTATTATACATTTGCTAACATTTCTAAAAACCTGTTTTTTGCTTTGTCATTATGGGGTATTGTGTGTAGATTGATGAGGATTTTAAAAAATGTTATCCATTTTAGAATAAGGCTGTAACGTAACAAAATGTGGAAAATGGGAAGGGGTCTGAATACTTTCCGAATGCATTATACGTGATAGGCCTATCTGGCTTATATGATTATGATGGTCATAATGCTTCATGACAGTGTCATAAAGTGTATTTTATTTACAATTTGATGAAAAAAACATGACTGTAAACAGAATTCATTACAACAACAACAAAGGACTTAAGAAATAAACTTTAAAAATGAAAGGAAACTTCTTGGCAGGGAAAAACATATTTGAATAAATGTGGGTTTTGACACTCTTATGTAGGTGTCATAACCAGTCATAAAGTAACGCAATATACTGTATGTCACAACAGGTGTATGTATATGGGTCATGACAGTGTCATGACCATATTATGACAGGTTATGACCAATTATGTCAGGATTTATGACATATTATGTATGGCATGGTTATGACCGTGTCATAACGTGTTATGACGCTGGGTGTCAAGTAAAGTGTTACCAAAACTTTAAACTTAAACCAACATACAGTGCCTTCAGAAAGAATTCATACCCCTTGACTTCTTCCATATTTTGTTGTGTTACAGCCTGAATTCAAAATAGATTAAATTGATATTTTTTTCTCACCCATCTACAAAATACTCCATAATGACAAAATGAAAACATGTTTTTAGAAATGTTTACATTTATTGAAAATTAAATACAGAAATATCAAATGTACATAAGTATTCACACCCCTGTGTCAATAGATGTTAGAATCACTTTTAGCAGATTACAGCTGTGAGTCTTTCTGGGTAAGTCTCTAATTATTGTACAATATTTGCCCATTATTCTTTTCAAAATTCTTCAAGCTCTGTCAAATTGGTTGTTGATCATTGCTAGACAACCATTTTCAAGTCTTGCCATATATTTTCAAGCAGATTTAAGTCAAAACTGTAACTTGACCACCCAGGAACATTCACTGTCTTCTTGGTAAGCAACTCCAGTGTAGATTTGGCCTTGTGTTTAAGGTTATTGTCCTGCTGAAAGGTGAATTCATCTCCCAGTGTCTGGTGGAAAGCAGACTACTGAACCAGGTTTTCCTCTAGGATTTGCCTGTGCTTACCTACATTACGTTTCTTTTTTATCCTGAAAAACTCCCCAGTCCTTAACGATTACAACTATACCCATAACATGATGCAGCCACCACTATGCTTGAAAATATGGAGAATGGTACTCTGTAATGTGTTGTATTGGATTTGCCCCAAATATAACGCTTTGTATTCAGGACAAAAAGTTAATTGCTTTGCTACATTTGTACCAGTAGTACTTTAGTGCCGTGTTGCAAACAGGATGCATGTTTTGAAATATTTATGTTCTGTACAAGCTTCCTTCTTTTCACTCTGTCAATTAGTTTAGTATTGTGGAGTAACTAACTACAATGTCCATCGGGTCCAAAGCTCTGTCTCATATCTTTGTCCTCTTCCATTCAGAGTGTGAGCCGGCAGAATGAGAAGCTGCAGGGAGAGCAGAGCGCTGAGAGGAGGAGGAGTAGAGAGGAGGCCCTGCAGTGGCAGAGAGAGAAGGTCTGACCATAGAGAGCCTAAAGAGATTCTGATTCTCTGCTTTGTTTGTGAGTCTTGTAGTGTGCCATGTCCCAGCTCTCACCACTGAAAGGGACTTGTGAGAGCTTGATCATTTCCAAGCCAAGGTCACCCTCTTGTGGCCACAGCAGAAACAGAGGCTTTGCTACAGCAGCATTGGCTATGCTACTTATTGTACAGTAATGCACTGTTTCTGAACTGACATGGAGTGGCATAGCGAAGACACATGACTTTTGTGACATGAAACAATTTGACAGGGTATTGATTTTCTTCTTGAAATTATAGTGAAGCTCAGACTGATGATACTTGGCTCTGCTTAAATAACCTCCACATGGTTCTTCTACCCAACAGAACAAAATGATGGAGCTTTTCTCCACCAGACTAGACCTCCTCCACAGCCACCAGGCATCCAGTGAGTCTGTGTGCTTATGTTCGTGCATGTGTGTGTGTTTCTGACTGTTATAAATGGTTTATAATGGTGAATAGCGCTACAGGAGCTGCAGATGGCCAGGCAGGAGGTGGGGAAAGTCCAGGAGATGCTCAGGACCTCTCCACAGGAGAAGGGGCAAAAGGAAGCCCCTCCTACTGATGCTGGTGACACCTTAGAGAATGACAACGGTCCTGTCAAGCAAACTGAGGTGGGTGTATGTATATGTTTTTCTATTGTGATCAGGTATTCACTCTTATGGAGAGTTGCTAGAAGTTGCCCCAAATCACTGAGGCTGGATCAGATTGCTTCCATTGCCCTAATTGTTAAGGTAAGGATTGGGGGGTAGAGTAATCGGATCCTCGATCTGTAGTTAATGGCAATTTCTGCCATAAGCATTGTTCAGTGTTATGGGGTTATGACAGTGAGCACTGAGCAGGCTTTGTTGTCCATAGGGGTGCAGTGACACAGAGCTGCCACTGGAGGGGGCCCAAGCCTGCTTGGAGGAGTTGAAGGAGAGTCTGTATAAAAAGGAGAGAGAGATTACTGAACTCCTGGAGTCAGAGCAGACACCCATCCCACCTATCCCGGTGGCACAGCCCCCCTGTGCTGTCCTGCTCCGCGTTGTCGTTGAGAAGGTGAGGTGTTCAAGGGGCTCATTGAAACACATTGGAACACTTTGGAACTAAATGCTGAGACACCTAAACGATGCCTCACTGCATGGCCGGCCCTAGCCTTTTGGGAGCCCTAGGCGAAATTTGGTTATGGGCCCCCCCCATCTCGCGGGCAAAACATTTTAGTACATTTCCTGCAATTCTACACATTTTGCCATGGGGCATAGAGAAGATGCTGCAGTTTTTTTTTTTTAATTCAGCAATTCTACACGTTGCCATGGGGCATAGAGAAGATGCTGTAGTTTTAAAACAAGTTTTCAGCAATTCTACACATTTTGCCATGGGGCAGAGAGAATATTTCCGTACCAGGTCGGTAATTTGGCAGAGTTTAGATAGCTGGCTAGACTAATTTACCAATCTGGGCTAATTGAGTAACTGTCAGTGGCTGACATAGGATGAGGAAAACTGCTGATGCGCAAACAAATTTCGAAATTGCACCTTGTGTATTCTACTATTCTCACTCTCGACTGAGTAAAACATGTTTTTAAAGAATGTGTCGCTTATGCCCAGGGCCGGCCCTGCCTCACTGAAATTGTTATATTATTTCACAGCTACTAGTCTAATGTTTAGTGAAGCACACTGTTCAAACTGTAAAAGAGTCACATTATTGAAACAATTTGTCTTAGGCCCATGATATCTGTAGCGAAGTGAGTGAGGCGAGGCTCCTTGTTGACCACATGTTCGAGGAGAACCGTGTGGCCTTGGCCCAAGCAAGAGAAAAACTTGACCATATGTCACAGATGACCGCAGATGATAACAACCGCAAAGAGGAGGACAACTCTGACCCAGAATGGTCAGTATACAAACTACAAAGCCAATTTCCTTCCCATTGAACATTTATTTGACTTACTGTAGCTTCCTTTTCTGCCATATAACTGGAGGGTCCCATCCTTCAGCTTTAGGTGGAATTGTACTTATTCAATCTTGGTCTGAGGGCATCTTTGCCTCGAGGGCAGATACAAATGCGATTGTGTTTAGGCAAGTAATCCTAATTGGTTAGGGTTAGGGTAAGGGTTGAGGCAAGGGTTAGGGTTTAACCAAATATATGGACATGAAGGTAGGGTTAGGGGTTAGGGTTAGTGTTGAGGCTAGGGATAGACTTGAACCAGGATATGGACATGAAGCTAGGGGTTAGGGCTGAACCAGATATGGACATGAAGCTAGGGGTTAGGGCTGAACCAGATATGGACATGAAGCTAGGGGTTAGGGCTGAACCAGATGTGGACATGAAGCTAGGGGTTAGGGCTGAACCAGATATGGACATGAAGCTAGGGGTTAGGGCTGAACCAGATATGGACATGAAGCTAGGGTTCAGGGTTAGGGTTAGTGTTGAGGTTAGGGTTAGACTTGAACCGGGATATGGACATGAAGCTAGGGGTTAGGGCTGAACCAGATATGGACATGAAGCTAGGGGTTAGGGCTGAACCAGATATGGACATGAAGCTAGGGGTTAGGGCTGAACCAGATATGGACATGAAGCTAGGGTTCAGGGTTAGGGTTAGTGTTGAGGTTAGGGTTAGACTTGAACCGGGATATGGACATGAAGCTAGGGGTTAGGGCTGAACCAGATATGGACATGAAGCTAGGGGTTAGGGCTGAACCAGATATGGACATGAAGCTAGGGGTTAGGGCTGAACCAGATATGGACATGAAGCTAGGGTTCAGGGTTAGGGTTAGTGTTGAGGTTAGGGTTAGACTTGAACCGGGATATGGACATGAAGCTAGGGGTTAGGGTTAGGTTTGAGGCTAGGGTTAGGGTTGAACCAGATACAGTGGGGGAAAAAAAGTATTTAGTCAGCCACCAATTGTGCAAGTTCTCCCACTTAAAAAGATGAGAGAGGCCTGTAATTTTCATCATAGGTACACGTCAACGATGACAGACAAAATGAGGGAAAAAAATCCAGAAAATCACATTGTAGGATTTTAAATGAATTTATTTGCAAATTATGGTGGAAAATAAGTATTTGGTCAATAACAAAAGTTTCTCAATACTTTGTTATATACAATTTGTTGGCAATGACACAGATCAAACGTTTTCTGTAAGTCTTCACAAGGTTTTCACACACTGTTGCTGGTATTTTGGCCCATTCCTCCATGCAGATCTCCTCTAGAGCAGTGATGTTTTGGGGCTGTCGCTGGGCAACACGGACTTTCAACTCCCTCCAAATATTTTCTATGGGGTTGAGATCTGGAGACTGGCTAGGCCACTCCAGGACCTTGAAATACTTCTTACGAAGCCACTCCTTCGTTGCCCGGGCGGTGTGTTTGGGATCATTGTCATGCTGAAAGACCCAGCCACGTTTCATCTTCAATGCCCTTGCTGATGGAAGGAGGTTTTCACTCAAAATCTCACGATACATGGCCCCATTCATTCTTTCCTTTACACGGATCAGTCATCCTGGTCCCTTTGCAGAAAAACAGCCCCAAAGCATGATGTTTCCACCCCCATGCTTCACAGTAGGTATGGTGTTCTTTGGATGCAACTCAGCATTCTTAGTCCTCCAAACACGACGAGTTGAGTTTTTACCTAAAAGTTATATTTTGGTTTCATCTGACCATATGACATTCTCCCAATCCTCTTCTGGATCATCCAAATGCACTCTAGCAAACTTCAGACGGGCCTGGACATGTACTGGCTTAAGCAGGGGGAAACGTCTTGCACTGCAGGATTTGAGTCCCTGGCGGCGTAGTGTGTTACTGATGGTAGGCTTTGTTACTTTGGTCCCAGCTCTCTGCAGGTCATTCACTAGGTCCCCCCGTGTGGTTTTGGGATTTTTGCTCACCGTTCTTGTGATCATTTTGACCTCACGGGGTGAGATCTTGCGTGGAGCCCCAGATCAAGGGAGATTATCAGTGGTCTTGTATGTCTTCCATTTCCTAATAATTGCTCCCACAGTTGATTTCTTCAAACCAAGCTGCTTACCTATTGCAGATTCAGTCTTCCCAGCCTGGTGCAGGTCTACAATTTTGTTTCTGGTGTCCTTTGACAGCTCTTTGGTCTTGGCCATAGTGGAGTTTGGAGTGTGACTGTTTGAGGTTGTGGACAGGTGTCTTTTATACTGATAACAAGTTCAAACAGGTGCCATTAATACAGGTAACGAGTGGAGGACAGAGGAGCCTCTTAAAGAAGAAGTTACAGGTCTGTGAGAGCCAGAAATGTTGCTTGTTTGTAGGTGACCAAATACTTATTTTCCACCATAATTTGCAAATAAATTCATTAAAAATCCTACAATGTGATTTTCTGGATTTTTTTTTCTCAATTTGTCTGTCATAGTTGACGTGTACCTATGATGAAAATTACAGGCCTCTCTCATCTTTTTAATTGGGAGAACTTGCACAATTGGTGGCTGACTAAATACTTTTTTTCCCCACTGTAAGTACATGAAGCTAGGGTTAGGGTAAGGAGTTAAATGTAGAAAATGTATGGGATTGGTTAGGTTTAGGATTTTGTATGGAAGCACTGAAGAGACCATAGAGCACCTATTTTACATAGTGCCCTTTAGATATGGTGCCAAACAAAATCATCACCCCTCTTGTTATTGAGTGAATAATGTTCTGTACCACAGGTTGGACTGTGGTACAGAACATGTGCTGTTGCTACAAGAGACACTGAGGGAATGTGAGATTACCCAGATGGCTTTGGACTGTATCAGAGTCGGGGACAGCCCTTCTCTCTCTGGTAATGTAATGTAATGTTGTGTGTGTGTGTGTGCGCGCGTGTGCGTTGTTGCTACTACGCATGTTTACCCATGTGTGTCTGTTTCTATTTGTGTGACTGAACATTGTAGTGGGATTGAGGGTCTAAATTGTATTAAATGTTGTATTTTCCTGGATATGTGCAGTGTAATCACGTGACATGTACAGTGGGTATCATAAGTATTCACCCCCTTGGATTTCTTCACATTCTATTGTGGTCCTCTGTAGCTCAGCTGGTAGAGCACGGCGCTTGTAACGCCAAGGTAGTGGGTTCGAACCCCGGGACCACCCATACACAAAAATGTATGCACGCATGACTGTAAGTCGCTTTGGATAAAAGCGTCTGCTAAATGGCATATTATTATTATTATTATTATTACAAAGTGTGATTATTGTTGTCAATGATCAACACAAAATACTTTAATGTCAAAGTGGAAAAACAATTATATATATATTTTTTAAGAATTATGAAAATAAAACAACACTATACCTTGATTAGATAAGTATTCACCACACTGAATCAATAAATGTTAGAAACCCCTTTGGCAGCGATTACAGCTGTGAGTCTTAGGTAAGTCTCTAAGAGCATTGCACACCAGGATTGTGCAATATTTGCCCATTATTCTTTTCAAAATTCGTCAAGCTCTGTCAAGGTGTTGGGGATCATAGCTAGACAGTCATTTCCAAGTCTTGTCATAGATTTTCAAACAGATTTAAGTCAAAACTGTAACTTGTCCACTCAGGAACATTCACTGTCTTCTTAGTAAGCAACTCCAGTGTTTTAGGTAATTGTCCTGCTGAAAGGTGAATACCTCTCCCCGTGTTTGGGGTAAAGCAGACTGAAGCAGGTTTTCCTCTAGGATTTTGCCAGTGATTAGAGCGATCCTGTTTCTTTTTATCCGGAAAAACTGCCCAGTCTTTGCCGATGTCAAGCATACCCATACCATGATGCAGCCACCACCATGCTTGAAAATAAGGAGGCAGTTACTCAGTGATGTGTTGTGTTGGATTTGCCCCAAACATAAGACTTTGCATTTAGGCCTAAATGTTTATTATTTAGAAGTGTTTTGTTGTTGTTGCAGGATTACTTTAGTGCCTTGTTGCATACAGTATCCGTGTTTAGGAATATTCTGTATATCGTTATTCTTATTTTCTCTGTCATTTAGGTCATTATTGTGGAGTCACTACAATGTTGTTGATCCATCCTCAGTTTTCTCCCATCACAGCCATTGAAGCTCAGTTCAGAAGGACAACTGATGGACTGAGGGACCTTACAGATGTTGTATGTACAGAGGAAACAGGTCAACCCCTATTATTTCACACATAGCGAGTCCATGTAACTTATGATATGATTTGTTAAGCCACATTTTACTCCTTAACTAATTTAGGCTTGCCTAAACAAAGGGGGTGAATATGCAACAACTATATTATAATGATTACATGTATTTGCAAAAAATATCTAGAATTTTCTTTTCACTTTGACATTATGGAATATTTCCAGTATTATCGTCTAGATCAATGACAAAAAAATCCCACTTAAATAAATCCCACTTTGTAATGCAATTATTATTATTTTTACTCCACGGGTGGTGAATACTTATGATACCCACTGTAAACTGCATATTTTTCATTTGTTTAATGCACTACAGCAGGGTTGGTGTCAATTTGAATAGAAGCCAGTCGATCTGAAATTCCAATTCAATAAATTGAAAAGAAATGCTTTTTATTCTCATTAGCTATGTTTCCATTAACTTGTCCAGTGATGTTTTTGTCGACATTTAGAAAGTTTGCATAGAAAATATATTTGACAATTGCCTGCTATGGTGCGTTTCCATTTAACTATCTTGTGTAGATAAAAACAGCTGGACGTTTGACGGCACACCTTAAAACAAAACTTTTTCGCAAAAACCTAGTGTAGAATAAAAGTGGTTGAAGTGTTTCCATTACCCATTTAGGCAAATTGCACATTAATAAATTGGCGACCGCCTGTATGCCCTCCCACCTATCTGTTTCATGTCACAGGTAGTAGCCCGCAAAAACCAGCATGGATAGAATGCAAGAATTGACTAATATATGGCATATTCTAATAATTCTCATGTGCCAACGTATCTCCACGGTCTGTGCCATGACGAAACCTGTAATTGGATGGTGAAACTTGCATCCAGCCAACCTGAAAAGCAAGTCGAAGCAATTCAGCCATTCTTGAAAGTCAGGACGAGGATCCTGCAAAGAAACTATATTTTTATAGTTGGAAAATAGATTTAGCAGGCAGTTGGCATTTAGAATTAAATCTATATCTGCCATTTCCATTACACATGTCACAAAGATTTTTTGGGTGACATTGCTTTTGTTGAATAAACCTGGATTAATGGAAACCTGCCTATAGACTTCTTCTATTCGACTTGACCCCAACCCTGCACTACAGCACCCATACTGTGCTTTCCTCTCCACTCTCTCAGACTGTGACACAGCTCCAGAGTTGGATGAGATGTTGGGGAAAGGTGAGGGAGTGAAAAGCGTTGGCCAGCAACTTTTATTGCTGCAAGACCAGGTGAGCTGTCCAAACAGGGACTTGGACGTGGTGTGACTAACTAGCCGATAGCTAGCTAGGACATGAAGTAGAACCTTCAATGTACACAATCAGCATTTCTCGATGCTAAGGGCCTTGACGGGACAACCATGTTTCTATCCCCTGCTGACAGCTGAAACAGGTGAGAGAGGAGAATAGGAAGGTCGTAGAGAACTACACTTCAGAGAGGACCATGAGAAAGAAGTACTACAACATGGTGGAGGACATGAAAGGTAGTTATCTATGTAATTGACTAGGTTTGAACACGGGTCTTCTGCATGCCACAATACTATTTTAGCTGAGCTAGCGTAGGTGCAAGTTGTGGGGTCAGTGGCGTCACTTGACCTTTGCAGTGGTTTTGTCGTGTGGTGCAGGTAAAATTAGAGTGTTCTGTCGGATACGACCAATGAGCCGCGCCGAGGCAGCTCAGGGAGGGGCCATCGCCGTGGGGTGTCTGGACGATTACTCTGTTACTGTGGAAACCCCAAGGGGGCCGAGAGAGTTCCAGTTCGACCGGGTATTCAGTGGCAAGAGCTCCCAGGAAGATGTGTTCCAAGACACCAACAGGTGATACTGCCAATCTTAAGATCATTTTATTGGCTCAAATGGTTCATTTTGATTTGACTTGGGAAGCAGAAATGTTAATATCTGAACCAAAGGAAACAGGAAAGGAGGTATCCAGCCCTTTCAAAGCTTCTGCCAAAGCCCATCCTTAGACCCTTTTACCCCTATCTCAGATTCAACAAGTCTGTCACAAAATACACTACAGAGTACTGTGATTGATACATTGGTTTGGTGGAGGTGGGGGAACTGGAAATGTATTCAAAGGTATTTTTTAAATGTAGAGTTTTGTGTGTATTGTAAGCACCGTTGTAACTAAACTAGGGTTGCAAAGGCAGGCTATATTACTGGAAACGTCAGTAAACTACCATAATTTGGGTATTTTTATTTTTGTGAACAATTATTTATTCGTTTTTCTTGCATGTCCTAGACAAGATATACATATGTACAGTTCAATAGGGGGAAAACAAACACATTTAGATATCTTTCAAGGATTTTATGTAATCCAACCTATCATAAAATATCTAGTGGTCCTTTTGGGTACTTCAGATTATCACAGTTGTCTGTAATTATCTCTGGCCCTCTCTCTGGCCGTATCACATGTAAAATATATGAAATAATTAAATAAGATGATTTTAAAATAAAAAAATAGAATGACAAAGCTGTAAAACATTATCCTAAATATAAACCATCAACTTAGTGAGTACCATTGGTGTTTAAAATGAGGGTTTCAGCATGAAATATCTTTATATTATTTATTTTTTACACTTTTATTCATTTTACTATGTCAATATGTATTTATTGTCAATGTCTTGGCGTCAAACTGGTGGCAGTCGTGAAAGAAGTGAATAGTTGGACGAGTTGCAGAGGTAATTGAAAATAGTGCCATTGTTGATTAGATGCTTTTTTCATTAATTAGGCTATTTTCTCTTGAACCATATGGTCTATCTACTAGAAACTCATGGATAATATGAACACAGATATACAAAAATGAATAATATACAGTGCTTTCAGAAAGTATTCAGACCCCTTCCCTTTTTCCACATTTTGTTACGTTACAGCCTTATTCTAAAATGGATTACATAAAACATGTTCCTCATCAATCTACACACAATACCCCATCATGACGAAGTGAAAACAGATTTTTAGAAAGTTTTGCAAATGTATATATATATAAAAAATGAAATACCTTATTTACATAAGTATTCAGACCCTTTGCTATGAGACTCGAAATTGAGCTCAGGTGCATCCTGTTTCCATTGATCATCCTTGAGATGTTTCTACAACTTGATTGGAGTCCAACTGTGGTAAATTCAATTGATTGGAAAGGTAACCTGTCTATATAAGGTCCCACAGTTGCAAAAACCAAGCTATGAGGTCGAAGGAATTGTCCGTAGAGCTCCGAGACAGGATTGTGTCGAGGCACAGATCTGGGGAAGAGTACCAAAACATTTCTGCAGCATTGAAGGTCCCCAAGAACACAGTGGCCTCCATCATTCTTAAATGGAAGAAGTTTGGAACCACCAAGACTCTTCCTAGAGCTGGCCACCCGGCCAAACTAAGCAATCGGGGGAGAAGGGCCTTGGTCAGGGAAGTGACCAAGAACCCGATGGTCACTCTGACAGAGCTCCAGAGATCCTCTGTGGAGATGGGAGAAACTTCCAGAAGGACAACCATCTCTGCAGGACTCCACCAATCAGGACTTTATGGTAGAATGGCCAAACGGAAGCCACTCCTCAATAAAAGGCACATGACAGCCCACTTGGAGTTTGCCAAAAGGCACCTAATGGACTCTCAGACCATGAGAAACAACATTCTCTGGTCTGATGAAACCAAGACTGAACTCTTTGGCCTGAATGCCAAGCATCACGTCTGGAGGAAAGATGGCACCATCCCTACGGTGAAGCATGGTGGTGGCAGCATCATGCTGTGGGGATGTTTTTCAGCGGCAGGGACTGGGAGACTAGTCAGGATCGAGGGAAAGATGAACGGAGCAAAGTACAGAGAGATCCTTGATGAAAACCTGCTCCAGAGCGCTCAGGACCTCAGACTGGGGCGAAGGTTCACCTTCCAACAGGACAACGACCCTAAGCACACAGCCAAAACAACACAAGAGTGGCTTTGGGACAAGTCTCTGAATGTCCTTGAGTGGCCCAGTGCGAGCCCAGACTTGAACCCGATCGAAAATCTCTGGAGAGACCTGAAAATAGCTGTGCAGCAACGCTCCCCATCCAACCTGACAGTGCTTGAGAGGCTCTGCAGAGGAGAATGGGAGAAACTCCCCAAATACAGGAGTGCCAAGCTTGTAGCTTCATACCCAAGAAGACTTGAGGCTGTAATCGCTGCCAAAGGTGCTTCAACAAAGTACTGAGTAAACGGTCTGAATACTTCTGTAATTTTATACTTTTTTATATTTATATATATACACATTTGCAAACATTTCTAAAGGCGGTATATATTGGGGTATGTATGGGGTATTGTGTGATGAGGATTTAAAAAAACAAAAAAACTATTTAATCCATTTTAGAATAAGGCTGGAACGTAACAAAATGTGGAAAAGTCAAGGGGTCTGAATACTTTCCAAATGCACTGTATATGAATACATTTTTTGGTATATATTCAAGTATAAATTACCGAAGTTATGATAGATTGCCAAAGATTTGCTGTTAATTACCAAAATTACTGAAGATTCTGGTAACTTTGGTAAAGTACAGGTAGCTTTGCAACCCTAAACTAAACACAACTCCCTGGTCTTGATTGTTGTTGATGTTTTTGCAGTAGCTCTTGTGGACAATGCAGCCATTTTTATTTTATCTCAATATCAAATCATTTCCGGGTAACAATTAATGACCTTACTGTGATTGTTTCCAATTAATACTTAAAAGTCTAAGCTGACATATGGAATTGTTTTAAGATGGTCATACTATGGATAATTTAGCTATTTGACCCCTATAGGTATCCCCCCCAAATATTACCAAATTATTTGATAAAATATTGAATTTGGCCTTTACTACTATAGCCCAGAGAAACGCATTGAATAACACATTCATAAATGGCAAAAAAAGACAGTCAAAAAATAATTAATAAGAAACAAGGTTTTGAAGTGTTTGTCCTATACTGTATCTAGGAGATTTTTACACATATTTAACCCTTTTTTGGGGGTAGGCACAAAACTACCTTCATCCTTCCATGAAAATGTTTAAACCAGTACCAATTACCTTCAGATGAGTCCTGTGACACTTGTGGGGGTAGTTGAGCAAAACGGATACCACCATCGTGCGAATCTCCCCTTTCCATAGAGAATATTGTTTGTAGGTCAAACCGTTCGGACGCTACAGACGTTTTCGTGAGAAGAGCAATATTTGGGATGTATCATGGTCTGACAAACACCGCTCTAGCTCTACCACCTTTCACCGTAGATTCGGAAGTGCGATATCGGCAGATGCAGTGCGATATCTCTAGCTTAAACTGACAGATTTTGATGGGGATTTTTTGATTATGTTACTTAGATTGACTCACTGGTGCGTCATTCGACTCTAGGGGGTTAAAGTGGTCAAAAAGAAACACAAATTATCATAATTTTCACTATATCACAGTATTATTCCAACCTCATAGTGTGGAAATATATATATATAAACGTTTTTCACTGCACTGGGCCTTTAAGCATGCCTGTTTGAACCAGTCTCTTTTCCAGGCTGATCCAGTCAGCCATCGATGGCTTCAACGTGTGTATCTTTGCGTACGGTCAGACAGGCTCCGGAAAGACCTTCACCATGGTGGGTGACAGAGACCAGAAAAGCCCAGGCATCATGCCTAGAGCGTTCAATGCCATATTTGACATCCTCCAGGAGAATGCCACCAAGTTTGACTTCAAGGTGAGGGCTGCGAAGTCTTTCTGAGCGATGAGAAATAATTTCCTATTGTATATCAGTAACAAGAAGCAAATACACTTTATAGTAAACATAAAAGGACTCTCCTCTCCTCTATCCTGTAGTCCTGTGTAGTTCATTTGGTAGAGCATGGCGTTTGCAACGCCAGGGTTGTGGGTTCGATTCCCACGGGGGGCCAGTATGAAAATGTATGCACTCACTAACTGTAAGTCGCTCTGGATAAGAGCGTCTGCTAAAATGTAAAATGTATCCTGTCCTTTTTGTTCCTTTCATCTCGTCTCCTCTCTGTGCTACTCTCTTCCTAGGTCTCGGTCAATATGTTGGAACTGTATAATGACCGGCTCCAGGACCTCTTTTTGAGCGGGGCCGAGGCCCAGAGCAGGCGGGTGGAGATTAAAAGGAACAGAAAGGGGCTTGTGTTTGCCCAGGGAGCAGAGACAAAGGAGGCCTCCAGCGCTGGGGAGCTCTTCGCCATGTTTCAGCAAGCCTGTGCCAACCGCCATATCGCAGCCACCAGTATGCCCAAACACCCACTCCCCACTTCAAAAGCGCCCTGTTTAATGGTTTGGATTAATTGGTTTAGTCACAGTCAGATTGACTGGATGGTAGGTACATCATTACAGACCCGGGCTCAGAGAGAGAGAGAGCTGCTAAGCAAGCCATACGTAAGAGGAGATCGTGGCGTCTTAACAAAATGTCTGGCTCTTTCATTTACTTCAGGGGTTAATGTGGCAACCCTGATATCATACTTCACAATTCTACCTTAATGTCATAATGCTGTTTCGCTGACAAAATATGATACAATTAGAAAATAGGAATAAAGTAAACAGGAAGTCAATCTATATAAAGACATTTAAAACTATTTTAGGAGTGTCAATTTAAAAAGGCTTACTTCTTTTACTCTGTGTGGTTGTTGCAGAGATGAATGTGGAGAGCTCTCGTTCCCACCTGATCATTGGGATCATGGTGGAGAGCAGGAATCTGACCAATGGGAGTGTGAGCTTTGGGAAGTTGAGTCTGGTCGATCTGGCAGGGAGCGAGAGAGCAGCCAAGACTGGGGCAAAAGACGACCAGCTCAAGGTTATTAGGTTACCCTGTTAGAATTCAGGCTTAAAGCTTTATATATCGCAGTCATTTATGTGTGTGGGCTGTTTACAACTAACAGTTTACGTTTTTCCCCATGGATATCATTGTTGAATAATCCTCCCTCTCTCTCTCTCTCTCTCTCTCTCTCTCTCCCTTCCTCCCTCATCTTTCTATAGGAGGCTAACTCCATTAACAAGTCTCTGAGTGCTCTGGGAGATGTGATCTCGGCCCTGTCCTCGGAGCTGCCGCATATCCCCTACAGGAACAGCAAGCTCACCCAGATCATGCAGGACTCGCTGGGCGGCAACGCCAAGACGCTCATGGTCGTCAACGTCTCGCCCTCCGACTGCAACCTGGACGAGACGCTCACCTCCCTTATGTGAGAGAGATTTCCCCAATACACACACCCCCTAAAACACACAACTCAAATCCTAAACACCCGGCCCAGACAAACACTTATAACAAACTCTGCTATAAGAAGAGAAACTAATGTCTAAATTACCCATGCCCATCGTACAAAATGCTGAAATCACATCCCTCCATCCTTACCAGGCTGGAGCTCCAGGACATGGTTAAAACTGTAGTACTAAGCCCCCAAGATGCACCCTTGTGCACTATAGGGAATTGGGTGCCATTTCAGAGTTGCCCTTGCTTGGATTGTTCTTGTTTGTGTGATTTTGTTTGTGTGATGTGTAGTGAAACGTACCATGCATGTAACTCGTACCATAATGTGACACGTACCATCTCTGTAACACGTATGTAACACGTATGTAACGCGTACCATAATTTAACATGTACCATCTCTGTAACATGTATGTAACACGTACCATAATGTAACACATACCATCTCGCCGTTTCATACTATTAATCCTCTAGTTATGCCACTCGAGTGAAGACCATAACCAACATTGCACAAAGAAACCTGGAGAGTAAAGAGATCAGCCCAGCTCAAAGAGGTAAGGTTTATTTTCTTCACACTACCCTAACTGTTTTGCAGTATGTAGCTAAAACTCCTCTTCATGAGGACGTAATGTCTGGGATATTAATTGACTAATGGCCCAAGACGACTATCATACAGAGCAATATATTGGCAAGCTGACGAACCTGAGGCATGCCATTGTAACATGCGAGATATGATCCTGGGTCTACCACGGGAGAAACCAACGCCTTGACCATTAGACCAAGAGGAAATTCCCTCTTGGCCTAAGGGTCAACACTGATTTTGAAGTCGCAGGCGGCGTTACCCATCACGTGACCATGAGCAATCATGACCGACTCATGTCCTCAACACCATCACACATGCACACACACACCAGTTTTAATCTGACAATGAAGAATTCTCTGTCAAATCAAATGTTCAGAGTACAAGCCCCACTCATGACCCTTCTCTCTCGTTTACTCCTTTCTTTCTCTATTTCTGGCAGGTGATCATGAAGTTGAGGTCTGGACAGCCAGTGGAGGATGAGGAGGTCTAATTCTAAGCTGTGGGAATTGGATCTACAGTACATTCAGAAAGTATTCATATCCCTTGACTTATTCCACATTTTGTTGTGTTACAGCCTGAGTTCAAAATGGATTAAATATTTTTTTTATCTCAGCCATCTACACAAAATACCACATAATTACATTTTAGAGAATTTATTGAAAATGAAATAGAGAAATATCTCATTTACATAAGTATTCACACCCCTGAGTCAATACATATAAGAATCATCTTTGGCAGCGATTACAGCTGTGAGTCTTTCTGGGTAAGTCTCTAAGGGCTTTTCACACCTGGATTGTACAATATTTGCACATTATTCTTTAAACAACTCTTCAAGCACTGTCAAGTTGGTTGTCGATCATTACTAGACTGCCATTTTCAAGTCTTGCCATACATTTTCACGCCGATTTAAGTCAAAACTGTAACTAGACCACTCAAGAACATAGAATGTAATCTTGCTAAGCAACCCCAGTGTATATTTGGTCTTGTGTTTTAGGTTATTGTCCTGCTGAAATGTTAATTTGTTTCCCAGTGTCTGTTGGAAAGCAGACTGAACCGGGGTTTTCCTCTAGGATTCTGCCTGTGCTTAGCTCTATTCCGTTTCTTTTTATCCTAAAAAACTCCCTTGCCGATGACAAGCATACCCATAATATGATGCAGCCACCACCATGCTTGAAAATATGAAGAGTGGTACTCAGTGATGTGTTGTCTTGGATTTGCCCCAAACATAATGTTTGTATTCAGGACATTAAAGTCAATTTCTTTGCAACATTATTTTGTAGTTTGACTTTAGTGCCTTATTGCAAACAGGATGTATGTTTTGGAATATTTTTTATTATGTACAGGCTTCATTCTTTTCACTCTGTTATTTAGGTTAGTATTGTGGAGTAACTACAATGTTGTTGATCCATCCTCACTTTTCTCCTATCACAGCCATTCAACTCTGTAACCATTTTAAAGTCACCATTTGCCTCATGGTGAAATCCCTGAGTGGTTTCCTTCCTCTCTGGCAACTGAGTTAGGAAGGACGCCTGTATCTTTGTAGTGACTGGGTGGATTGATACACCATCCACAGTGTACAGTTGAAGTCGGAAGTTTACATACACCTTAGCCAAATACATTTAAACTCAGTTTTCACAATTCCTGACATTTAATCCATACACTCAATTAGTATTTGGTAGCATTGCCTTTAAATTGTTTAACTTGGGTCAAACGTTTCGGGTAGCCTTCCACAAGCTTCCCACAATAAGTTGGGTGAATTTTGGCCCGTTCCTTCTGACAGAGCTAGTGTAACTGAGTCAGGTTTGTAGGCCTTGCTCGCACACGCTTTTTCAGTTCTGTCCACAAATTTTCTATAGGATTGATGTCAGGGCTTTGTGATGGCCACTCCAATACCTTGACTTTGTTGTCCTTAAGCCATTTTGCCACAACTTTGGAAGTATGCTTCGGGTCATTGTCCATTTGGAAGACCCATTTGCGACCAAGCTTTAACTCCTGACTGATGTCTTGAGATGTTGCTTCAATATATCCACATAATTGTCCTTCCTCATGATGCCATCTATTTTGTGAAGTGCACCAGTCCCTCCTGCAGCAAAGCACCCCCACAACATGATGCTGCCACCCCCGTGCTTCACGGTTGGGATGGTGTTCTTCGGCTTGCAAGTACCCCCTTTTTCCTCCAAACATAACGATGGTCATTATGGCCAAACAGTTCTATTTTTGTTTCATCAGACCAGAGGACATTTTTCCAAAGAGTACGGTCTTTGTCCCCATGTGCAGTTGCAAACTGTAGTCTGGCTTTTTTATGGCAGTTTTGGAACAATGGCTTCTTCCTTGCTGAGCGGCCTTTCAGGTTATGTCGATATAGGACTTATTTTACTGTGGATATAGATACTTTTGTACCTGTTTCCTCCAGCATCTTCACAAGGTCCTTTGCTGTTGTTCAGGATTGATTTGCACTTTCCGCACCAAAGTACGTTCATCTCTAGAGACAGAACGCATCTCCTTCCTGAGCGGTATGATGGCTGCGTGGTCCCATGATGTTTATACTTGCGTACTATTGTTTGTACAGATGAACGTGGTAAATTCAGGCATTTGGAAATTGCTCCCGAGGATGAACCAGACTTGTGGAGGTCTACAATTCTTTTTCTGAGGTCTTGGCTGATTTCTTTTGATTTTCCCATGATGTCAAGCATAGAGGCACTGAGTTTGAAGGTAGGCCTTGAAATACATCCACAGTTACACCTCCAATTGACTCAAATGATGTCAATTAGCCTATCAGAAGCTTCTAAAGCCATTACATCATTTTCTGGAATTTTTCCAAGCTGTTTAAAGGCACAGTCAACTTAGTGTATGTCAACTTTTGACCCACTGGAATTGTGATACAGTGAATTATAAGTGAAATAATCTGTCTGTAAACAATTGTTGGAAAAATTACTTGTGTCATGCACAAAGTAGATGTCCTAACTGACTTGTCAAAACTATAGTTTGTTAACAAGACATTTGTGGAGTGGTTGAAAAACGAGTTTTAATGACTCCAACCTAAGTGTACAGTGAGGGGAAAAAAGAATTTGATCCCCTGCTAATTTTGTACGTTTGCCCACTGACAAAGACATGATCAGTCTATAATTTTAATGGTAGGTTTATTTGAACAGTGAGAGACAGAATAACAACAACAAAATCCAGAAAAACGCATGTCAAAAATGTTATAAATTGATTTGCATTTTAATGAGGGAAAGAAGTATTTGACCTCTCTGCAAAACATGACTTAGTACTTGGTGGCAAAACCCTTGTTGGCAATCACAGAGTTCAGATGTTTCTTGTAGTTGGCCACCAGGTTTGCACACATCTCAGGAGGGATTTTGTCCCACTCCTCTTTGCAGATCTTGTCCAAGTCATTAAGGTTTTGAGGCTGACGTTTGGCAACTCGAACCTTCAGCTCCCTCCACAGATATTCAATGGGATTAAGGTCTGGACACTGGCTAGGCCACTCCAGGATCTTAATGTGCTTCTTCTTGAGCCACTCCTTTGTTGCCTTGGCCGTGTGTTTTGGGTCATTGTCATGCTGGAATACCCATCCACAACCCATTTTCAATGCCCTGGCTGAGGGAGATTTCTTGTTCGTGTTGGTTTGTGTTTAAACCATAGACGTCACGTTTTTCGTTTGTTGTTTTGATCGTGTGATCATTAAATAAATATAAATATGTTCACCTTCAACGCTGCGCATTGGTCTCTCCCTGACGATCGTGACAGAAGAAACCACCAAAACTGGACCAAGCAGCGTGTCCAGGAGCCATTGCCTGGGGAATCGCTTGCAGATCTCCGTGGCAACCTCGACTGGGTCCAGCCTTGTAAAGAGCAGAGTGGATGGACTTGGGAACAGTGGAGGAAGAGTTTCGACTGGGTCAAGCCTAATGAAGAGCAGAATGGCTGGAGTTGGAGACAGAGGAGCGAGAGTTGGGCGAGAACGATAGAGGCCTGGCCCACGGGGAGGAGAGACCCCCAGAAATTTTTTAGGGGGGGGCTCACGACGTCGGGGCAGCAGGAGGCTGCGATAGAGCGGTCCAGCGGGTTGGCAGAGGAGGCCGCCAGGTTACGGGGGCCACTGGTCGAAGAGGGGATGGAAGGTGGAGAGGCACGGCGAGAGGTACTGGGGTGTGTTACCAGTCCGGTCTGGCCCGTTCCAGATCCCGGTGTAGGGCCAGTGGTGTGTGTCCCCAGTACGGTCCGGTCTGTTCCTGCTCCCCGCACCAAGTCTGTGGTGCGTTTCGTCAGCCCTGTCCGGCCCGTTCCTGCTCTCCGCACCAAGTCTGTGGTGCGCGTCGCCAGCCCAGTCCGGCCCATTCCTGCTCCCCGCACCAAGTCTGTGGTGCGTCTCGTCAGCCCGGCTCGGCCCGTTCC